ATAATAATAATTAGATGTTTAATCCTTTACTTATCATTAATTGTTGTTTTTATTAATTAAATTTGTTCAGCTTATGGCCAGCATAGCCTGATAATTACTGAAGTTTCTTGTGTTTGAGGGTCTTGGGATTGCTTCTTCTTGTTAGCATACTTGCTCCTGTTTTTAGCTGGGAAGAGTTTTTTTCGGGTTATGACAAAGCTGCCAAGGTTATTTGTCATCTCGTTAATTTTTAACTGCCAACCAGAAGGAAGGCAACTGGCTGACAGCACCCACTGCCAACTTTAGTGTTAAATAGTGTAGTTAGTCTTTCATGTTATGTTATATTATAATGTTTACATTCAGTTTTTACAATGTGTAATATTGTGATTTATAACCTTTTTTTTAGTTTTAAATAAACTATAAATTTAATATTTCTGTTTGTGTTTAAATGATGTTTGTAACACTACACCTCATACATTCCTGAATTTGTGTTGGGAAACTTGTAGCACTATTCTGATCAACAAACACTTAGAGAAGTAATATTATTTATCCACATAGTCATTTCCAGCATCTTAATAACCATGCAATAAATTGCATGTATAAATGTAATAATCAACTTTCAATAATCAAGATCAATAAACTGTTTGCAAATTTTAATGTTATTTTAATAATATTATTAAGGTAACAAAACTATTGTAAGTTGTTTTTTTTCTGGTTATACATTGTATTTCTACATTATAGAAAAAAAAAAATCATGATAGATCATGTATATTAAAAAAAAAAAAAGAAGAACGAAGGGGGGGGGGGGAACTGAATATAACTTTAAACATTTATGATCTATATCTTACTAATATTAATACAGTTTGGTAACATGTCTGTCACTGCATGCCAGTGCCAAGTAATTTGTTTTCACATTCACAAAAATAGCTTAATGTGCATGTGTTAGTACACTTCACACACCCATGCTTTGTCATACATTTAATAATTTTTCCAATTGGCACATAGTCATTGATCTACTGTATAGATGAATTCAACTGAGACAGTTTTAAAATGCACAAGGTGTTATGCAGATAGTGCAAGACCCAGAAATAATGTACTGTACATTCAAGTTTGAAAAATTTAGTATTATTTTTTGATATAGTATTAATTAATTAAAACTTGTTTTCTTGGAAAACAATACTTTATCTTGGTAGGTAATATTAAGATTACTACATAATTGTATATACAATTCAAAAAAAGTAGTTTTCTTTTACTATAATTTTGAGTCTAAAAGTTCAATGCCTGCATCTTAGTGTGAAACAAAAAAAAAAAATGAACATCTTACAATCTTTATACTATTCACTTAACTTGAATTTTGGTTTTTATTAAAAATGCATGTGATATGTTAATGAACAGTAATTCTGTAAAGAACAATTAAATGTTAAGAAGAGGATTTTGGCCTGCTTCATACAAATAAATTAGTTACTATTTTCCTAGGATATTTTAATTAAAAGGCTATATAAGCAATTGTATATTAAAAACAATGACTTGACCTTATAACCCCAGAGCCTATATGTGAAGTAAATAAGCTATAAAAGGGGAAAAAACAATACATATTTTCTAAAATAAAACCGACCAAAAAATGTAAGAAAACATTTTTATATTGACAATAGTGTAAAGTACAGTGTAATAATGTTTAATTATAATAATAAAAAAAAGTCCAATCTACCAACTAAGTTTTTTTCCCATCAATTTTACCATAAGTAGCTTTTTTTGTTTGAGGAGGTAATGTGCAGTAAAAAATATACGTTATAGAACTAAATGACATCTTCCCATTTTAAAATAAATTGTTGGGTCACAATGACTAGAATACTGTTGTAGGCAAAATGATTGATTTTACACCAATGATAATCTTGTGTTCTTTACCTTCCATCAGTGAAAATGGCATGTGCTGTTTATGGTGTACAAACAACAAATGTTATGTTTAAATGAAAATGTAACAAGTGATTGTAAACCAGATTTTCATTATTTTATTAAAAGTTTACTTTATTTACACATATTGATGAAGGGCACATCAGTAAAGCTTAAGACTTGTAATACTAAAATCCAAGTTTCAATACCTGTGGTGGGCATAACAGGTATCCCCTTATGTAACTTTTTACTTTACAACAAAAGAAATCCGTGAGAGATTACTATATTTAGATATATTTTATACTTCTAATAAACTGAACAATAGTGAATTTTCACATTAAATTTGGCATTACAATTAACTATTATGATCTTAGGAGACTGGATTTATATTCTGCTGCTCTTTAGCAAAGCCATTGATTTTGTTGTGTGTGTGTGTGTGTGTGTGTGTGTGTGTGTGTGTGTGTGTGTGTGTGAGAGAGAGAGAGATGGTATATGGTCAAGTCATTTAAACACCATTCCACCAATAAATTTATTTAATTTGTTTAAATATACTTGCAGTTACTTACAATTGTTTTAACACTATAATAATGAGCTAAATTTCATGAGCAATGAGCTTAACATGTGACAACTCTGCTTCGTAATATCTGGTGTTCTTGAGCTAAGGGCTAAAAAGACTGCTAACAATGAGGGCAGGGTGGTCATAGAAGTTTTCTGTAGATTGCCCATTACTTGTAATTAAAATTATTCCTTATTACTTGCAACTATTATTGTAGAATTTTACCAGTTCTACTGGTCGTATTTATTACATAATTGGCAACTCCTGGTAATTCAATATTATAGTTACTTCAGGTTTGAATTATAAAAAGTATTGTACATACATTACACTGTTCATCAAGGATAAGTAAACAATTTTAATGGAAGCTGGCACATTGTTTTAACACAGAGGATCAAGATATGACCTAGACAACACTTTCACTTTAAACAAATGTGTCCCCTAATCAGAGAAGGAATGTTGGTATAATTCCAAATTTACTATGTATTTCTACACAAAATGAGGCATGCTTTTAGTTGCATGTGCAAATCTGTTGTACAAAAAAAAATCAAAGTGTAGAGTAAAATGAATAATTGATATCTCTGACACATACCATGTTTAATGGCACACTTTGACTTCCAATTGTGGAGTTAGGGTTAATAGGCTGCTTTTCTTAGGAATAAATTTTTTGTATGTGTACTGTATTCAAGAAAATAAAACAACTTCTACATTATTCCCAAACTATTTTAATTCTCTATTTTAGTACAAATACATCTTTGTATTACATTTTTACTTTGTTACTCAAGTGTGCACAAAATCTTTATTAGCTGTTACTACAACTGCTCTAGACTAATAATAAGAAAGTACTGTAAGGAAAATTAAGATAAAACATATTTCGAACATTATAGATAATTGTGGTTTTATATTAGAACAGCAATATGCAAGACATATAAATTACATCACAGAAGACAAAGTAACTATTTACTTTTAAAACCTACAATGAAGCAACATCCTGATTAAAAGTATTATTGTCAATTGAGAATATAAACCCTTACCTTGTGTATTGTATCTTTTTTTTTTTCTTTATAAAAAAAGTATCATGCAAACTAAATATTGAACTTACAAGATACTGTACAGTTCTTTGTGTTTAGTTTTCATTAAAGTTGTATAATTTTCTCACATAGCCAACAAAATCTATGAATGAATTACAATATTCTAAATGCTGTTCTCACCAGAAATCATTACATTTTATATTACATTGAAGCAGCAATTCCAGCTAAAATAAAGGTAGTACCAAAAACGAACCATCCAGTCTTGTACAGTGTTTTAATTTCAAAGCCATGACCAAGATCCCAAGCCTAGAAAAGAATATTACACTTAATTAATATGATTAAATTACATCAAAGTACAATGTATTTATTATTATTCTAGAAAAGAAAATTCACTTCGTGCAATGAACTGCCTAGCAATATACCACCACAAGAGATGTAAAGATTGTTACAGAAAAAGTTTTTTCTATATAAATGTTAATTACTGAATGAATGTGTGTGCTCAATGAAATAAGACAAGTAGGAAAATGTGGTGACAATTTTACAACTCAACTGCTAGTTGTCATTAACTTTTAGCTTATGGCTGATCACTAGTGAGGGGGGGGGGGTATATAATAAAAAAATGCATGTATAATAAGTTTTTCATTCAGTGCATTCCTGTTATGCCACTGTCCTATCCATAGCACAATAGTGAAGTTACTTTTCTATGTTAATTACTTTTGAATCATTCTAAACAACTCAAATATAACGTGCAATCATACGATAGTCAAGTAAAAATGTGCAGCTAATATCAATAGCTTTTCTAAGACTATCAGAATAACTACTACTCATATAATACTAAAAATCAAAAGTAAAGAAAAATAAATAAAGGTCATCCCAAAAAGCTGCTAGGGAAATTTCAAATTATAAAATAAATGTAATATCTAGTTTCACTGTAAAGTGAAAACTTGTATGAGATTGTTTAAACACACAAAGATGTCAAAAAAAGGCACGAGAGAAACATTGATTTACAAACTTTACGACTCGATAAAAAAAAAACGAAATTTAGATATTTTGTGTATGAAAGCTTTGTAATGTTTACTGATAATCTGCCAAATTTCGTTAACATTCGCTTACTAATTTCAAAGTTATAGCATGAAAACTATAAGCACAAAATGGTTATGAGGTCATCACATTCACTGACCCCATATTGAAAGAGTTAACTACATGTGTAACACCTGAATTAAAACTGAAATATTCTAAACTAGTTATGGTAGGGTGAAATTTGTGACTATTTCAGCCATTACAATGTCATGTCTGTAACTGATTTTTGTGGCCTTCATTATCTTAATGTAGATGTGAATATTTAGATCTTTTACAAATCAGCCATGTATGCAGAATGTTTGAGGGGGGGGGGGTCTAATTTCTGAGATCAAAAGCCAACACATATTGTGTGAAGCACAATCAGTATGCAAAGCATGAGGATATGGTAACTAATACATAATTAACTAAAATATAACAGTAATAATTAAATACAGTTTAAACTGTATTTCTAACTATAACATTTAGGTAAGAAACAACCATAAGTGCTATAGTTGATCAAACAGCCAACCATATTATAGTTAATTTCATGTACTCTATAACAACTTGCCACCAATTTCAATATAACCATTGTTAGGTTATACTGTAAAATGAGCTCTTTCTAATGGCTAGACGCATGTATATGTTACATCTATATGGAGAATATAAAGCTTAAACAAGTATGTTTAAGGTGGGTGCAGCAGCTGTCAGGGGTTGAAACATTTATTACTCACTCCAACTGTATTCATTCAGAAAACTTTGAAAGCGTCAAAAGGTTATCCAAGTATCTCATCATCTAGACGTACATCTGCAGTACTGCCATTGTATTATTGAAGATAAAGAGTGTCAAAGTAAAGAATTTTCATAGCTTGTTGGTCATGTGACAATACATCTGAAGTTAAGTAGTTTTTTGAAATGTTTATTTTGAAATAAAGGACTTAAAACTTGGATAAAATAACACTTTGAATCCTAATATATAATATCAAATTCATTCACATACATTGATATTAAAGGTGTTTAATTAAATTTTGAAAGTAACACAGTAACTTTCACAGAAAAGTGTTCAAAGGAATTCCCATTGCAAAGGGGTTAAACAAGACAGACATAACTGATGTTTTTTGTTGTTTTTTCTATAGGAAAACACTTTTGTTCAATCTCTGAATTAATCAATATAATGCTCAAGTACAGTGTATCTAGTATCCCCCCCCACATCACAGTTTAAGTAACATATTTAGTGAAAATACCTGATAAATGTAGCATGTTTGTATAAATAAACATGAATGTGGCAAATCAAAAACATTAGAATCACTTACCAAATGCCTAACCGCATTACACATGTGGAAAAAGAAAAGCCAGGCAAGACCATACTTTACAGTGAAAATAAATGATGGCCAAAGGTGAAGTGACTGCACCATTGTCAGATAATGAGGAAAGCTTCCTGGCAGTACTAACATTCCAATAGAAAATCCCCATAAAACTGCACAGATATATAAACAAGTATATTGGTTTGGTGTATAAGACATTGATAACTCCTTTTAAATTCAAAACTTTCAATAGTAATAAAAAGCTCAAATACACACTGTGTGACAATATACTTATTACCATTACAGACATGAAAATAAAGAAAACGTTGAATGAAACTAAATGATTTGTGGTTTTAGCTTCTGTGAGAATATTTTAAAACAGTTTCACTTAAAGTACTTAAAACAGCCATAAAAGTTATTTTACTATAAACCTACAGTTTAATGAAAAGTATTCATACCTAATCACAACAAATCATATATACTCTGTACAAACTACCAATGTGTTTGACTTTTCTCTGATAATCTGTACCCTAATATGTTAAACAGTTCACGTTTTACCTTTACTCTTCATTTTGTTATAAAAGTGTACAATTTTCTCACAAAAATATCTATGTTAGATGTACATGACTGTTTTAATTTAAGTATAACGCGAGTATTAAATCTAGTTATTTTTAGAAGCAATAGTTTATAACAGCTTTCTTTATATAACTGTGAATCATATGTTGTGTAGTTCAAATGTCATATTATTGCATCATGATGTTACTAAAACATCCTTAGTTTTTCTTGAGTATTATTACATCCTAATATCTAGTAGTGTGTGGAAAGTTTTAGGCTATTACATGAAAATCATCCATTCCTACCAGCACTTAGAGTAACAATTAAGCCTACCCTTAGAACTACTTTTATACTCATTTCCTACTTTTCTCTGCATAATTTTTTTTTGCATTTAGTTTATCCTAGCCCTCCCCACTGTCTAGTCCTAGCTTACAACTTTTCTTACAGCAGAATTAATAGCTCTTACAAACAGGTCTATTTAAGTGTAAGCCATCCATTCCAAGAAGCTCCCTCTCCCATGGCTTTTATGTCATGTCGCTTAGTAGCAAAAGTTTAACCTGATATCATTGTTACTCTACGTACTGAAAGTATAAAATGAAATGTATAGACAACAAAACTAGAAAAATATGTTGATTTCTTAATTTAGAGTCTACATTGATTAAAGAGGCTTGTTTTGTTTTTTTTATTGTTATTAAA